CCCCAAAACCCCAAAACCCCAAAACCCCAAAACCCCAATAATTATGGGAAAATAGAGTCTTATGATTTTTGTAGTTTATTTAGTAAACTTCTTCCTCTTCTTCCCTTTAGGATCCAATTTTTCAATTAGTTGGTTTAGAGTCAAGATTTCTTGATTTCTCTCTTGGATTAGTGCATTCTTTTGCTCATCTTCGGTCTGAAGTAAGGTTATCTGGGTAAGATATCTATGAGTTATGGAAGAAAGTTACGATTCCATCTGTCTTTGTACTTCATCATTAAGTTGTGCTATGAAGATCAGAAATAAGATAATACCTTTTGTATTCTTCTCCTTTTCTGATGTCAATAACTTTCTATTCTTATCAACATCATTCTTGAGTTTCTCTTCTCTTTCCTTGAGACGATTAACCTCAACTATGATATTAGGAAGTGAAAATTACGGTTGAGTGTTTCAATTGTGTTTTCTTTATCATTAAGCTCATTGCCCATTTCAATAACATTACTATTAGCCTCATCTAGCTCTTTCTGGAGCTTTTCTATCAGATCAATTTCCTCATCAGTTCTTCCTTCTGTTTTAGTCCTCTCAAGCTGAACATTTAGAGAATCTATTTCTTCTTTGAGTGTTTGAACCTGGTCTTGAAGTTCTTGCTTCTCAGTTAGGTTCTTAACTCAAATATAATTAGCTCATTTGAATTCAGGCTGTCCTTCTCCTTCATCGGCAAAAGAGACCGAATGAGCACCTTTGAGGAACTATGTTGGAGAAAGTTAATTATTAGTTACATTTTATAGCATTTAAAATTTATTTCGTGATCCAAGTGCCGGCAACTTACCTGTTGATATTCTGGGGACTCCATCTGCTCTCTGAGCTCTTTCATGTCATTCTTGAGTTTGAGATTTTGCTTGGCCAAAACTTCATTTGCTTTATGTATTTTTAGTGCTTTCTTGACATCATTCTGGTGTTTTTCTACAGATTTTTTGAATTCTTCCCTGACCTCACTTTCTTTCTCCCATCTCTCTTTATACTGGAGGTTCTCATTAAGAAGTTTCCCGTAGTCTTCTTTAACCTCAAGAAGTTTTTGTTTTGTGACTTTATTCTCGAGCATGACGTCTAACTTGACATTGGCACTTGGTCCTGAGCTTCCATTCTGGAGATAACTAACCTGTATTTTGAGCTGGTCCCTTTCTCTTTCTATTTCATCTTTGGATTTTTCAATCTATGTTGTTAGGATCCTGAGTACCTTTATTTTCTCAAGTTCGAGCTCTTTTACCCTTTTCTCCAGTTTGTCTTTATCTCTTGACAGATTCTCAATCTGATTTTCTTGTATCTTTGAGTCAATTCCTAAGACTGAACTTCGCGATGGATCTCTATGAAGAGTTCCACGAGAATAGTCTCTGTTGAGAGTTGCTCGGGAGGCTGATCTTTTCTCGTCTTGGAGTTTCATGTTGAGCCAAACTATTTCAGCATCCTTCTCTGTCAAAGAAACCTGGAGATCATCTACTTGTTTATTTTAGCTGAGTAAAATTATTTTGATGGCTTGTATCTTGAGTAGTATGGAACATTGGCTGTACCGATCCGAAAGAATTATGAAATTGAGATTGGACAGGATATTGTTGATTCATGTTCCAATATTCTGGAGCAGTCATACTTCTACCTAAAGAGCTCTCTCTACTTCCTTGCATCGAGCCTATTTTTGATGTTTCCATAAACCTTTTTAGAACTTCTTCTACTTTTTGTTCAATGATTTCGTTACTTGGTGCCTGTGGAGTAGGAGCAGTCTGTGGCTCAGGCTCAGCTTCGTAATCTTGAATCGTACTATCATCTCTGAAATAGATTTGAGGACTGTAGCCATTTTCATAGTTTCCAAGATCATTAGTTGGAGGACTATCATTTCTTACAGTAGTTTGGTTTGTATTCCTTCTCTGCAGCTCCCTTCTCATTGCGGCAGAATTAATGATATCATCGACTGACATTGAAGAAATATCATTTCTGTCAAACCTTGTTACCTTTTTGGGGCCAGAGTAATTTTCATCTATAGAAGATTCTTCATAAATATCTCTGTTCCTATTAGCATATTTTTGTTTCTTAACACCTATCGAATTCATCATTTCCGATTATGAATAAATTTAAAATAAAGCTTAACGAATACTAAGAGTTAAAATTACCTCTAATTTTCCCTGTCTCACTTCTTTGATTTCCTCTCCGTGAAGAATACTGGCTTGGGTTGTTCAAGATAGGCGCTAGAGCTTTCGAGATGCGGTTCGTAGATTCATTCCCATGATTCACTCTTGATTTTACTCTACTAGAGACTCCAGATCCGAATGACTTTGTTGGTCTAAGCTAATTAGCTATTTATGTACCTTTGGTAATCATCAACAGCATTATTCCTCCTTCTTGCTTGATCATTTACATATTTTTGGTATTGTCTCGTCCTGTTAGATATCAGATTGGAGGAACTCCGGTTATTATTGCTCTTGATGCTTTTCACTCTTTTCATTTTCAATTCTTAATTATTATTATGGGGTTTTGGGGTTTTGGGGTTTTGGGGTTTTGGGG